GATGAGGGACAGAAAAAAAACCATTTGGGTAATTCCTGTGTGCGCACCCCGAGACAGCGAAGCGGAGGCAAACTCCCCAAAATCGGCTTTTCTCGCTCCTACACACTCGCAGGATTTGGAGTTTGGGGTTGGTTTTTTTGTTTGTTTGTTTCTTTTTTTTTTTTTTTTTTTTTTTTGGTAACCGTCCACGGTTATGGGTATAAAACCTGAATGTTTCTGAGACAGAAGAAATCCCCCTCTTTTGCTCAGCATGGGAGGAACGGGAGGTGGGGTGAAGTAAACAAAAAAACGCAGTTAACCAAAAAACCCGCTGAAAACCCAAGTAAAACAAACATTGCTTTTAGCAACAATTCACCATCTCCAAGAAAAACAACGCTTAATAGATACAAAATACGCTTGACCTTAAAAATGTCTTTTTTTTTTTTTTTTAAACCCAATGATGGAATTAAACCAAAAGAAAAAAAAAGGGGAAAAAAAATCAAAACGGGCCGTGCCAGATCTGAATATTTTCTTTTGAATTCTGCGATGATTCTCTTTTCCCTCCCCTTTCCTTTCCCTTTCCACGGGAAGCAAAGGACACTGTGGAGGGATTTTTTTTTTTTTTTTTTTGTTTGTTTGAGAGAGCCAATTTTTGGAGGACTGTGGAGGAAAAATAGAAATCGCCGAGCGGGCACTGCGCGATCCCGGGCCGCGGGCTGCAGAGATTTTCTGTTGCAAAGAAGAGGGAGAAAAAGAAACAACACCAACACCACCCCCCCAAAAAAAAAAAAAAAAGAAACAGAAAAAAAAGAAACACCACATCAGCTTTGATTTTCCTAACGTTTCCAAAACAGAGCAGACTTCAGAGAGCCCGTCGGGCTTTGATGCCAAAGCGGGGTGGAAATCACATCAGAAATAGTCAAAAGAGCCAGTTACAAAGCCACTGGTTTGCAAGAAAAGTTAAACTGGGATATGATTTCCTCTGCAGAGGAGAGAGACATTCCCCCCGCATTCTTCCCCGCATTCCACTCCGGAGCTCGGGAGAGATCAAATTGTCCATCTGTACTCTATTGCTAATGCTCCTGGATCCTATTTCTTGTGCCCGTAAAGCTTTTACAGGCCTGCTACCTTTAGGCGATGGGAGTTAGGGTTATTATCCAGCAAACAACTCACTTTTTTCTTTTTCTTTTCCTTTTTTTTTTTTTAATATACATGCAGCAGTTTCAAATAACTTCCTCTCAAAGCCTCCTGTTTTCTTTTAGCAAACAGAATTTCCTGGTCTTTTTAAAGTTGGTGTTTTCTTCCTGTCTCTTAAGTAGACAGAAAGCATTACATTGCTATTAATATAGTTATTTGGAAGAGCTGCTCCCAATTTCGCCGGGATTGACTCGGACCGAGAAGGAGTGTTTATGCTGCATGACATCATTATTTCTCTCTGCGTGTGATTATTATTAGTTTAATCCAATGCATTTATGGAGGAAAAGGGAAAAATTAGATCTATTCTTTCCTCGGGTTCTTTTTTGGTATATGGGGGAGGAGGGGGGCGGGGGGGACAGGGGGCGCCGGGAGCGGGGCCGGGGCGAGCTCTGCTCGGCGGCGCCCCAGCCAGGGGAAATCCCTCTTA